ATTGTGAATCCTCACCTGTGATTCCTTGAGTAATTGTCTTAGTTTTATTTACCCTTTTGAGATTTTATTTGAAGCCACGAAACTATCGTAACAACGGATTAAATAGCATAGTCAATGAATCGGCAATTAAGGTGACTTTCTTTGATAGAATACTTCTACTATTCTTTCTACTCAAATAAATCGTTTACTCACTAAAATTGTGAAATTAATTAAATTCAACACATAAGTAATTAAATTTGAATATGAAAATATTAAACAATAGGAGAAAAACCAGTTTACAAAGCCTAGTTGCTAATAAGAAATAAGGCTCATATAGGAGATATATAAATGGTAAAAATCACATTTTTTTAACGAACTGTTTAAATGATCGTAACACTATTTCTTGCAATTAAAATTATTATTAAATAATTATTGTTTTTTTCACCTGAGTTTTTATTATTTGATCAATTGATTGATCAATCTGTAAATAATCTATGCTATTAAAGTATTGTTAAACATAAACCCTCTAATCTATCCAAAATTTTATTCGATTTAATTCAGCTTATAATCTCATCTGATCTAGAGCTTTTTGTTAAACAACAATAATCGCCAAATGTAAGTTAGAATTTAGAGTTAACAGCAAAAAAAGGTTATTATGATTTATTGGGCAAAAATTCATGAAAAAATATACATTATCATGTATAAATCATTTGGGCATAAATCATTTTGAATAAAACTGGAATGTTCTGCAATGATTAAGCTAAAAATTGATCAAATAAAAATTAAAATAGGGCAAAAAAAATCCACGTGCTAGACATTTGAATTTTAGAATTTTCATTGTGTGAATATAGGTATGTCTAAATAAATACTATTGTTCGGAAAAAAAAATTTCGTGTAATTTATTTTTTTTTAAAAAAATTTATTTTCTCATTTAAATTCATACTTATTCTTACCTTTTTATATCATTATTTCATAAATTCATTTCGTTCTTTACATAAATTCATATTCTTATTATTTAAATTTCTTTTTTATTTATTTATAAATTCATCAATTCTTTACATAAATTGTCTGTTCTTTTACCTTTATCTTTTTTAATTCATAAATTTAATAAGGTTATGATGTAACCTCTTTTTTTTTAATGAATTTGATACACAACTACTTTATCATATTCTTTTTTCAGTATCAGCAGGAATAAAAGCATTTGACTTCACTATCAAATTTATCATTTTTTTTTTTAATTTCTTTAAATATTACCTTAAACATTCAAAAAATTTAAGATAGCTGTTTTTATCTTTATAAATAGAACCCCTTATTAGAATTAAAGAATGAGTTAAAGAGCTCAAAGAAATTGATACAGATGGAGAGTTATATTATTACAATATTATTAGAAATCCACGAAATTATTTTGATAATGAATATTAATAGAGGAAAAAATAGAAGAAGAAATAGATGAAACAGAGATAGAAGAAATAAAAAGAAGAATACTAAGAGGAAGAATAAGAGGAATAAGAAGAGAAAGAGAAAGAGAAAAAGAAGTATTAAGAGGAAGACCAAAAGGAAGACTAAGAGGAATAAGAAGAGAAAAACTAAGAGGAAGAGAAAAACCAAATAGAATAAGAGAATAAAGAGGAAGAAAAGAGAAAGATTAAAAATAGAAAATAAAGAAGAAAATAAAGAAGAAAATGAAAATGAAATTGAAGATGAAATTGAAAATGAGAATGAAGTTGAAAATAATGAAGAAAATGAAGGACTTCTATTACCCCATATTTTCATAAATTTAACCATCAAAAAGCTTTACATCATACCTTATAATATACAACAATTTGATTTTGTATTAGAATATTCTATTTTTTCATTATTTTTTTCAATTGAAATTTTAAATATCATTATTAAAAATACAAATATATATGCATTAAATAAACATGCTGGTGAAGGCAGAATATGAGTACCATTAACTTTATCAGAGTTACGTATTTGACTTAGATTATTAATATATTTTGGAATTTTTAAAACACCTTCTATTTAGAGATTACTGGAATAAGAATAATTAATTTCCAATACATAAAATAATAAATTATATGACTTTATTACGTTTTGAACAAATATGTATTTATTAATTTAATATATATTTTTAATTTCAATTATCTGATTATTAAATCAAAAAATTTTTATTAAATAAAATTTATTTTTATTTTAGATTAAACAATATATACATATATCTGATATTACCCAATCTATTAATACTGATTATTGGTTTTTAAAATTAGAACCTTTAGCAATACATATAAAAGATATTTCAAAATCTATTTATATTTCAGGTTCAAATATTTCAATTGATGAAATGATTTTACGATTTTTTGGTCATAGTTCACATACCTTTAGAATTAAAAATAAACCAACTCCTCAAGGATACAAGATTTTATCTTTGTATGATTTTGGATATACATATTCATTTATTTTCTTTCTCGAGTTAATTATCATCCAAATATTGAAATAATTCTAGAACTTAATAAAACTAGCTGTGAAGTTTGGCATCTTGTTGAACAATTACCATTTAATAAATCATTTAACATTTTATGGATAATTTTTTCAAATATAAATTTATTCAATTTTTTACGAAATAAAAAATTTGGAGCTTGTGGAATTACTTGAACAAATTCAACAAAATTTCCAAAAATATTAAAAATAAAAAAAAGATTAGATTGGAACACTCTTTCTGGTGTTGTTATAGATAAGGTTTTAGCATTATTATAGATAGACAATGGTTCTGTTACTATGTTAATAACTATATATAAAATTAATATTACACATTATTTTATTTAACGAAATCGTCGACATTCATGAATAACTAACACTAATACAACTAAAGTACGAGCTACTTTTGAAAATGAATTTAGAAAAATGTTACCTATTCCAATAGTAATTGATGATTATAATCATTTTATGAAAGGTGTAAATATAGCAGATCAATTAAGATCTAATTACATTATACAATTTCCTATATGAAGAACTTGGTTACCAATATTTTTTTGGTTATTAGATACTTCATTAATTAATTCATTTTTAATTTCAAAGATAAAAAATAATAATAATATAAATTATAAATTATTTAGATTAAATATTGCATAAAAATTAATTGAAAATGGTTTAGAATTAGAAAATAAAAGAGAAATGCGTAGTAAAGGTAAGCAAAAAGTTGCATCAACAGCATCAACATCAAATATCAAACAAAATTATATTATAAATAATTTTAAATTACCTTTAGAAAGATTAATTGTAAGTAATCATTTTCCAGAATGGAGAGACAATAGAATAGCTTACATATAGTGTAGATACTTAGCAAAACAAAATAATGAAAAAAGTTCAAAATCTCCACTACAATCTCAAATATGGTGTAATTTATATAATGTTGCATTATGTTGTAATAGTTCAAGAAATAGTTGTTTTAAAAATTTTCATAATTTGAATAATTAAATTAATAAAAATATTAAAAAATTTAATATTTTATTTTATTAAATGAATTTTTTTATTTTTAAATAAAAGTAATGATATATTTTAAATAAATTTAAAAAAATATTTTTTATTAATTAATTAAACTTTTGAATTAAAATTAATTGAAATTGGTTAAAATTGCAGGCAAATTTGCCTGCAATTTTAGTCAATTTTAATTAATTTTAATTAAAACAATTTATTAATTACATAAATTTTTTTTTAAAATATATTATTATTAATATTTTAAAAATAATAATTGCTTATATAATTTATTTTAAACAATTTTAATAAAACAAAATTTTAAAATTTTTATTATTTTAAATAATACAAGAAGTTTCATCTTAATAAAATATTTTTTTTTTTAAACTTTTTCAAAAAATAATATTTTTATAGTAAAGTTCATAATATAATCTAAATAATAATCAAAAAAAAATTTAGGTTAATTAGTAGAAATATAAGTTAAAATTAATTGAAATTAGTTAAAATTGCAGGCAAATTTGCCTGCAATTTTAGCCAATTTTAATTAATTTTAATTTAAACATTTTATTAATTAACCTAAATTTTTTTTTAATATTTATTTAAAATATATTATTACTAATATTTTAAAAATAATAATTGC